TTAGTGCTTACGTCCTACCTTTTAGATTATTGCATAGTGCCTGTGGTCTTAAAATTCTTACAAGTGGCTCTCCAAGACACAATAATCGATCTTCATTCACTTAGAGCAACAGAGGATGAAGGAGAATCAGGAAAATGACAGTGTATAGCTATTTTCCTCCATAGATAATGCTTACATTCCCATGAGACCAGAACTGGACCGTGCCTGACTACCATTACTGAGCATTTTGATCAAAGATTCTATAGAAGAATCCTGATCAAAAAGGGGGAAATCTGGAACCAAATCTCAAATTTTCATGCATTCCAGACTTTCTTACTCCTTTAACTATTGTTTGAGGTAATCTTTAAGTTTTAAAACAAAAACATCCCCTAAAATCTCCTTAAAACCAAACAGTAGTTTAATATGACTAGTGAAAAATGTCAATGTTGAGCATTATGCTTTTTTAAGAACTATCTACATGAGATCATATTTACTGCATCAGCTCACAAGATTAGATGACAACTTTAGCAATCTGAGTTAATGTTAATGAGGGAGAAACAACTCAGAAAAAGAAGAGAAGAATGGCACAATTAGAATATAATCAATATTAGTAAGTTGTGTACATGGAAACTGTTAAATGGGTGTATATGTTCCTGTGTTTATGAGCAAGCTCCAAATTATCCATGGAAAAAAACTATTATCTTTTAATTCCGTTTTTCCAGACTTTTTGATGCCCTTTATATTCTTAACAACAACAAAATAAATAAAATATAGAAGAAACAAAAGTGATAATAAAATTTTAGAGAAGTGTTTGCAATAAACTGAGACTTTCTCCCTACATAATAGAGATTTTAAAGGTATTTGCCTAGAGAATAAATAACTTATTTTTAAAAACCTCAAAATAACAAAATTTATACTGAGATATCATTTCTCACCTATAGGTTAGCAAAGAATATGAAATTGGATAATATATGAATATAATGTGTTTGAGAGGGTATAAGGAAAACAGGTACTTTTATACACTGTTGGTGCAATTTGCCTGTTTCAAAATGACAGGTACACATGTTCAAAACTCGTAGTTCTACTTCTAGCAATTGTGGATTTGTTTTCACAAATACAGAATGACATGTGTCAGTAATATTCACTACAGCATAGACTGTAATAGCAAGGAGTGGAAGTAACCTAAATATCCTCCAAGTGTTGTTGTTGTTGTTAAGTGCTGTCAGGTTGGTTTTGACTTACAGCAACCCTGCACAGCACTTCTGAGGAACAGCTGGTAGGTTTAAACTGCCAGCCTTGCAGGTAGAAGTGCAGTGCTTATCCTACAGTGTCAAAACAGTATATTCTCCAATATCACCCAAGTAGGAGTCTAATTAGATACATTATTACTCACCCATGAAATGAATTTCATTGGATACAGTCATAAAACCAAAAGCATGAGAGAATTCTTTACTTATAATGGAGTATTTTTCATATGTATATGAGGGAGCTTCAAAAAGTTCATGGAAAATTTCCTTATCTTTTAATACTGTTTTACACGAACCCTTTTGAATCCCTTTCGTATTAAGTGCAAAATAAATGTACAGGTGTAATATGTATCATGCTGTTGTTGTTGTTAAGTGCCATCAAGTCAGTTCTGACACATAGCAACCCTGTATCGGGTTTCCAAGGAGCAGCTGATGAGTTTGAACCACCAACCTTTGCTTCAAACTGACCTTGAACTTTGTATGCATAGAAATTTTTTGAAGAATACGTTAATTGCTTTCTTGGAAGGGGAACTGAATAGCTAGGAGAAGTAAATTTGTTGTTGCTGTTATTAAGTATTGTTGAATAGGTTCTGACTCATAGAGACCCTGTATAGGGTTTCTGAGGAACAGCTGGTGAGTTTGAACTGCTCACCTTACAGTTAGCAGTACAGTACTTGTTCTACAGCCAAGGGAGAATTTTCATTGAAAATACAAATGACTTTTGTCTTATGAGACATAAAACTAATGGATTTAGAAGTAATCTGTCATCACAACATACCAAAATCTTTGGGACACAGCAAAAGCAGTGCCTAGGAGACAGTTTATTGCAATAAATGAACACATACAAAAAAAAAAAAAAAAAGAATCAAAATTGACCCACTAACACAACATCCCCAACAATTAGAAAAATAACAACAAAGTAAAGCTACAGCCACAAGAAGAAAAGAAATAATAAAGATTAGAGGAGAAATAAAAGATTTAAAAAATTTAAAAAACAATAGGAAAAATTAACATGACTAAAATCTGGTGCTATAAAACACTAATACAATTGACAAACCATCTAACAAAAGAAGAGAAGGAGAAGACAAATAACACCTATAAGAAACCACAATGGAGACATTACAACAGAACTAGTGGAAATAAAATGGGTAATAACAAAGTACTATGAAGAATTGTACTCCATAAAATTTGAAAACCTTGAGGAAATGGGATGTGTTTTTAGAAAAACACAACCTACCTAAACTTACACCGAACAGTAGAAAACTTGAACAGACCTATAACAAAGGAAGAAATAGACCAGGTCATCAAAAAACTCCCAACTAAAAAACGTCCCGGATTATGGCTTTAAGTGGTGAATTTTACCAAACATTCAGAGAAGAGCTAACACCTACTCTTCTCAAATTATTCCAGAATATAGAAAGAGTGGGAAACTTCCTAATACATTTTACAAAGCAAGCATAACCTTACCAAAACCAGGGAAAGACATTACTAAAAAAGAAAATTATAGTCCAGTATCCCTCATAAGCATTTGTTGTTGTTGTTGTTAGGTGCCATCAAGTTGGTACCAACTCATAGTGACCTTATGCACAGCAGAACGAAACACTGCCCGATCCTGGGCCAGCCTCACTATTGTTGCAACGCTTGAGTCCATCGATGCTGCCACTTGACCAATCGATCTCGTTGGGGGTCATCTTTTTATTCTCTGACTCTCCACCTTACCAAACATGATATCCTTTTCCAGTGACTGGTCCCTCCTGGCAGTATGTCTGAAGTATGAGAGACGAAGTTTGGCCATCTTGGCCTCCAAGGAGCATTCTGGCTGCACTTCTTCCAACACAGATCTGTTGGTTCTATGGGCAGCCCGTGTCACTTTCAATAATTTCCTCCAGCACCATAACTCAACAGCATCAATTCTTCTACAGTCTTCCTTATTCACTGCCCAGCTTTCGCATGCATATGAGGTTACTGAAAATACCATGGCTCAGGTCAGGCACACCTTAGTCCTCAAGCTGACATTTTTGCTCTTCAACACTTGAAAAAGGTCTTGTGCAGCAGATTTGCCTAATGCAATACGCCCTTTGGTTTTTTGACTGCTCCTTCCATGAGTGTTGATAGTTGATCCAAGAAGGATGAAGTCCTTGACAACTTCAATCTTTTCTCCTTTGCCTAATGCAATACATCGTTTGATTTCTTGACTGCTCTTTCCGTGAGTGTTGATAGTTGATCCAAGAAGGATGAAGTCCTTGACAACTTCAGTCTTTTCTCCATTGATTAGAATGTTATTTATTGGTCCAGTGGTGAGGTTTTTTGTTTTCTTTACATTGAGATGTAATCCATACCGAAGGCTGTGGTCTTTGATCTTAATCAGTAAATGTTTTAAGTACTCTTCACTTTCAGCAAGGAAGGTTGTATCCTGCTGGTATTTAAAATACTGGTGGCATAGCTTTCAGAATCACAGCAATTGACAAGCTACCACAGTACGACAAACTGACAGATGACTCTACCAAACTGTGGTGGCTTATGAACATAGATGCAAAAAATTCTCAACAAAAACCTAGTCAGTAGAATTCAGCAACATATTTAGAAAAACAAAAACCCATAATGGCAGAATTCATACGGGTTGTGCAAAGATGGGTCAATATTAGAAAAGCACAAAAACCACATGATTGTATCGGTTAATGCAGAAAAGACATTTGACAAAATCCAACACCAATTCCTGATAAAAACACTAAACAAAAGCAGGAATTGAAGAAAAATTCCTCAACATAATTAAGAGCATATATACAAAACCAACAGCCAACATCACTCTCAACAGAGAGAACTGAAAGCTTTCCCTTTATTAACAGGAAATAGACAAGGATGCCATTTTACTTTACAATCCTACTCAATATTGTGTTGAAAGTCTTAGCCAGAGCTTGTTGTTGTTGTTAAGTGCCATCGAGTCGGTTCCGACCCATAGTGACCCTATATAGGGTTTCCGAGGCTGTAAATCTTTACGGGAGTAGAAAGCCTCATCTTTCTCTCGCGGAGCGGCTGGTAGCCAGAGCTATAAGGCAAAAAAAAAAAAGATTATAAAGGTATCCAAATTGGCAAAGAGAAGTAAAACTCTGTTTGCAGATGGTATGATCCTATACATAGAAAATTCCAAAGGCACAGTGAAAAAAGTACTGGAAATCATTGGAAGATGCTGCAAAGTGGCAGGGTACAAGATCAATATACGAAATCAGTTGGATTCATATATACTAATAAAGACAGCTCTGAAGAGGAAATAAGGAAAACAATACCATTTATGAGCGCCAACCAAAGTATGAAACATTTAGGGATAAATCTAAGCAGAGAAACAAAAGACCTATATAAAGAAAACTATAGAACACTACTATGAGAATCCAGAAGACATTTACAAAAATGGAAGAACATACCATGCTCATGGATAGGAAGACTTAACATTGTGAAAATGTCATTACTACCCAAAGCAATATACAGATAGAAGTAAACTGTCATGAATAGCTGTTAGTAACTGATTTTAGTATTTGAGACATGGTCAGTTAAAATGGTACAGGGCTTGTTTTATAATTCTCAATTGGGGATCCTCAAGTACTTAAGAAAGCATAGTGTGAGGAACAGCTCTAATTAATCATTCTAGATCAAGCATTGGTTGATAACATACAAAAGACTTAGTTCTATTATCTTTTCAAAGTAAGAAATTCTGTTGGGTGTTTTTCAATAGTTTTGAGTTTTGTTGATTAATTTTATATGATTCTTTATTGCTTCTAGATAAATCTTACAAACCATTGTGGTTTTATGGGAGGACTACAGAAAAATAAAAGCACTGGATTGACCACTCCATATTTTGCTACCTCCACAGTAGAAGTAATATTTCATGTGTCAACAAGAATGCCTTCTGATTCTGATGACTCTGTAACCAAAAAAGTAAGTACTAAGGAAAACGGTGCTTTCAATTGAAAATCCTAGTACTTAAGAAAGTTAATACATAAGAGGAGATTAATATGGAGCATAATTGATCAATCACTATTCTAACTCTAGTACTCTGCTCTTCACCCAAACTGTCTTAAGAAACAGGATTGTTCTAGAGAAAATTAAATGGATATGGTGGAATGATTTTGATTGCCCAAGTCTTAAAAAGACTTACATCACCATTTTGTTAGCCAGCAGATGCGTTCAAGAGCATTTATTCTAGTGTGACCACAGAGATACCACTGAGTAATTTTTAATCCATGTTTGATTTTGTTAGTGAAAAAATGTTTTTTAAAAAATTCTTGCCCCCAATAGGTTTCTTTTTTTACCTTCTTCTTAACCTCATCCTCAATGTATAGTCAACTCTTTGTATCTGTGAGTTCTACATCCATGGGTTCAGCCAACCATGGATGAAAAATATTGGGGGATGGGCCAGAGAACACCATGGTCAAAGCAATCCTCCTAAGGCTAACAAGGAGCATAAAGTAAGTACTATTTGCAAAGCATTTACATTGTATTTAGTATTATAAGTAATCGAGAGGTGATTTTAAATACTGGAGGATATACAAAGATCCCTGGTGGCACTATAGGATAAACACTGGACTGCTAACTGCAAAGTCAGCAGTTCAAACTCACCAGCTACTTCATGGGAGAAAAATGAGGCTTTCTACTTGTGTAAAGGTTTACAACCTCTGAAATCCTATACAAAGTACCAGCCGCTCCGCAGAAGAAAGATGAGGCGTTCTGCTCCCATAAAGATCTGCAGCCTCGGAAACCCTGTACAGGGTCGCTATGGGTCAGAACCGATGGCACTTAACAACAACAACAACAACATACAAAGAATCCCTGGTGGCACTATAGGATAAGCATTAGACTGCTAACTGCAAAGTCAGCAGTTCAAACTCACCAGCTACTTCATGGAAGAAAAATGAGGCTTTCTACTTGAGTAAAGATTTACAACCTCCGAAATCTTATACAAAGTAGATATGAATCCAAATTGACCTGATAGTAGTGGGTTTAGTATTTGATTTAGAGGTTAGATACAAATACGACACCATTTTATTCAAGGGACGTGAGCATTTTCAGATTTGGTTATCTGCAAATACTAAGAGATGACTATTCACAACTGCTGAATATAACCAGACTGAACTTCATCGGTCATTTCATTTGATACTTCGCGTTCCTCGTCATTTATGAATACAGAATTATTCACACATCTTTAAAAAGGAACCTCAGCACCCCTCTCCAATATTTTTAAAGATTGTCTAGACTTCCCTTTGATGTTTTCTGTACTTTTTTAGGGTATTATTGGAAATCACATAATAAAAGTTTAATGACTACGAAAATAATATATCATTGCAAATTAGACTGGAATTAGTAATAGAGATGGAAATAACTGAGTAGGGTAGGAAAGTATATTCAATAACAATTAATTGTTTAGACGTACCAATTAGATTATTTTTATTGTTGTTAAGTACTGCCGAGTGTGTTCTGACTCAGCGACCCTGCATAGGATTTCCAAGAAGCAGCTAGTGGATTTGAACCACCAACCTTGTGGTAAGCAGTCCAGTACCACATCTGACTCTACCAATTTGAATAGTGTTCAAATAGTTGTTCCTTTCCTCAATGATGAAAAGACAACATAGCCATACAAATGCTGCCAAATAGATTATGAAAGGTTGGATCAGAGTCTAACTTCATGATCAGTTAAAGCCTTTCTTTCATCTGTTCCTTTTAAATGTCTCTGAAAAAGTTATATCCAAATTCAAAACAACTATGTAAAAAGATAAGTAATTTTAATGACTGAGAACTTGGCATTGACTCATATGTCTCATTATCTTTTTCATGCACACAACTTTTAAACCCACCCCAGAGCAAAGTCTGAAGACTAGCACTGTGTTAGACTTCAGACCTAAAAGCAGGACTTTGTAGAACATTAAAAAAGAAAGAAGGAAAGAAAACTATGTTGGGATATGAAACTTAGTTACATAGTACTTTTATTCTAATAACCTTTGTAGAAATGTCAAATAAGGTTTCTTATTTCTCTCAGATATGGCAGTCCTTAATGAGATGGGACTGAAATGAATGTTTAACTATCCTTTGTTGTAACAAGTAAAGCACATTTTTGAGATAAAACACCATTTTTTTGTTGTTGTTAAGTACCGTGGGGTTGGTTCCGACTCATAGTGACCCTGCATAGGGTTTCCAAGGCTGTAAATCTTTATGGGAGCAGAACACGTCATCTTTCTCCCGTGGAACTCCTGGTAGTTTCGAACTAAGGACTTCGAGGTTAGCAGCCCAATCTGTAACCACTATGCTACCAGAGCTCCTTTAAATTGACTTTGAATTAAAGTTTTACCCTAAAATGGTAAAATCCGAATGTACTAAATTTTTAGAGAATTTTGAAAGATTAAACCTTGAACATCAGTAGTGTGTTTATTTTATAAAGCTTGATTTATTTTTTTTTTAGTAATTCTAAATTTAAAAATTATGTGATAATTTAGCCAAATGGAAAGTGTAGCTATTTTTTTCTAATTTGTTAAAAAAATAAGAACTGAGGCAATTCCATGGTATATTTCAAGTGTTTAATATTAAGATGTCAGAAGTGTTCTAACTTTTTAAAGTACAAGCATATGTTTATGATTTCCAAAAGTGTCTAATACATACATGTACATTGTAAATTATTAAAAGAGTTATTTTTGAGGAAAAATGCAAAGACTAGATAAGCTTTCTTATTTAAATAAAGGAATTTAAAGGTGTTTTTGTTTATTTTAGTGAGAAATTTTTTAAAATATCTCTGTTTTAAAATGTGTAAAGCCTGTCATGAAAAGTAAGTGGTGGTGGTGGCTGTGTGCTGTGGAGTCGGTTCTGACTCATAGCGACCCTGTACAGGGTTTCCAAGGCTGTAAATCTTTATGGGAGCAGAAAGCCTAATCTTTCTCCCACGGAACAGCTGGTAGTTTCGAACTGCTGACCTTGCAGTTCACAGCCTGATTCGTAACCACTATGCTATCAAAATTATGGAAAATACATAATAAAGCAGTATCAAATATGGAAGATATTTTTGAGTAGTAATTTAAAACATTTTTAAGTAAAATTTACTCTATCAAGTTTAGGACTAAATTGAAGCAATTTATGAATAATGTAAATTCTATATAATATTTCTTATTACTTTCACTGTCATTCTGCATTAAGAAATGTTAGCAACATTTAAGTCAGCAAAAAGGGAAGATTTACCTGACCTTATCTCAATCTCACTAGCTGCTCATTGGAAACCCTATACAGGGTCGCTATGGGTTGGAATCGACTAGATAGCACTTAACAACAACATCTCAATAATGGCTTGTCTAAATCTTGTTTCATAGAAATAAAAGAAAGCTTGTAAATATTAGTTTTTCTGTATACTGTTCTCTTTGACTCTTATCCTTAATCTGTTCCTTGGTATTTTAGTATGTAAGATTTTTTATAAATAACAGCCTTATATTTTGACTTGTTACAGTATAAAATTCTCTTCAATAGAAGGTTAAATGTTTAAACCTAATCATAGAAGCCAGATGACGTATACCAGTTCTCCTTAATAAAAAAAATCACATTCTGTATTGGTATTTTTTCTCCTGAATTTAATAAATTCCACATTAGTGATAATAAGTTGAGGTCTTGAACATATGTCCTATTACAAATGAACAATTGGATATCATTAGGTTGTCCCCCCTTTCCTTGGTACATACATCTTTAGGTGTGTTAATCCATTCAGTAGACACATTAATGAGCACTGGTTGAAGTGTAATATTGAAGGGAGTAAGCCTTGTTGACCTCAGCATGGAGTTTAATACCTCTAATTAAATTAGATAGTCGACAGTCAGTATAAAGAAATAGCCATGCCTTTGGCAAGCTAGAATTATTTATGACTTTCGCTCTTTGTTTTAAGCCAAATAAGAGAAATTCATGTATATCTATTTTATAGAAACTAACTTTAGTCCTGACTTTTTATTTAAAATACCATGTGGTGATTTTATATATTATCTTTTTATCAGAATGTGTGGTAAATGTCCTTGGATCCATTTAAGTATAGCAGTTTTATTTCTTATAAAGAAAAGTGTTTCCAAGGCTCAAGACAGTAGCAGTAGATTTTTTTTTTATAGTGTGTACTATACTTTTTGAACAAATTATCTAAAGATTCAGTCTAGAAAAGTCTCAGAAATACTATACCACCATATCAAAAATCCTGATATAACCTTAGTCCAAGACAGCTGTTCTATAAATTACCTCTACCCGAGAAAGATTGATGGAAAACGGTTAAAAATAATTTTCACTTAGCTGAGTTTATTCACCCCTAAAAATCAAAAGTGCTGCAAGCATTGGTATAAAGTGTTCACAGGAGCCTCTCTCATTTCCTCTTTCTCCTTGTTCTAGCCACTTGCTGATACTCTGCTTCATAAGGAGCTGAATCATCCTTTTAGGAGTTTGATAAAGATCAAGTTCAGATAATTGTAACATACTTAGTTGGACTCTCTGGTCTATCTTTCATTTTCTGGACCCCCCCAAAAGAGGGAAAAGAAGCACTTTTATTTAAGTCAGTTTTCTTTGAAACATGTTAGTGTAATGGACAGCATTTCATTTTCAGCCTTGAAATTTGGTCACCAGTTTCACAATTTTAATCTAGAAATAAAAATGTAATATACTTTCCAAAAGAATGCAGTGTAGAAAATTAATTCAAAAAACATTTAAGAGACATATTAGAAGGTATATTTAATTATTTAGGTAAAAAATATAGTTAATAATACTGTAAAATTTTACTAACGTTCTCGGTTTCAAATATAACTTAAAAAAAAAAAAAAAAATTAAACTCACTACCATCAAATAGATTCCATCTCATAATACCCTGTATGGAATTGGCCCACAGGATTCCCAAGGCTGTAAACCTTTATGGAAGCGCATTGCTCCAGCTTTCTCCA